CACCGTGCCTGTGCCCGGGAATGGGGCACCCAGCCCCACAGGGCACCATGGGGTCTCTGTGCCCAGGGATGTGGCACCCAGCCCCACAGGGCACCATGGGGTCTCTGTGCCCAGGGATGTGGCACCCAGCCCCACAGGGCACCATGGGGTCTCTGTGCCCAGGGATGTGGCACCCAGCCCCACAGGGCACCATGGGGTCTCTGTGCCCAGGGATGTGGCACCCAGCCCCACAGGGCACCATGGGGTCTCTGTGCCCAGGGATGTGGCACCCAGCCCCACAGGGCACCATGGGGTCTCTGTGCCCAGGGATGTGGCACCCAGCCCCACAGGGCACCATGGGGTCTCTGTGCCCAGGGATGTGGCACCCAGCCCCACAGGGCACCATGGGGTCTCTGTGCCCAGGGATGTGGCACCCAGCCCCACAGGGCACCATGGGGTCTCTGTGCCCAGGGATGTGGCACCCAGCCCCACAGGGCACCATGGGGTCTCTGTGCCCAGGGATGTGGCACCCAGCCCCACAGGGCACCATGGGGTCTCTGTGCCCAGGGATGTGGCACCCAGCCCCACAGGGCACCATGGGGTCTCTGTGCCCAGGGATGTGGCACCCAGCCCCACAGGGCACCATGGGGTCTCTGTGCCCAGGGATGTGGCACCCAGCCCCACAGGGCACCATGGGGTCTCTGTGCCCAGGGATGTGGCACCCAGCCCCACAGGGCACCATGGGGTCTCTGTGCCCAGGGATGTGGCACCCAGCCCCACAGGGCACCATGGGGTCTCTGTGCCCAGGGATGTGGCACCCAGCCCCACGGGGCACCATGGGGTCTCTGTGCCCAGGGATGTGGCACCCAGCCCCACGGGGCGGCACAGGGTGCCTGTGCACAGCCATGGGGCCGCAGTGGGGTGAGCGCAGGGGCCCTGCTGTCCCAGGTGTGGGGCTGAGCAGATCCTGGCCCCCTGCCCGTGCTCCCCCCGTGGCCTCTCGACCCTGTTATGAAACAGCTCGTTAGCGCTAATCCCGCAGCCACCTGTCCCCATCCCAGTGCCCTGCCTGCCAGGGGAGGGGACCCGCTCACGGCTCTGCCCGTGCCATGTGGGGCAAGGGCCCAGCTGGATCCTGCTGGGAGGCAGGCGGGGGGCCGGGGACGGTGGGGCAGGAAGTGGGGCAATGGGGCTTGGGGTGCCACGGGGCTTGGGGGGCAGAGGGACTGGGTGTGGAGCAGTGGGATGTAGGGGTGCAGAGGGGTAGGGAGTGGGGCAATGGAGTAACGGGGGCAGTGGGTCAGTGCAATGGGGCACTGGGGACCAGGGATCGAAGAGGGGCAAGACATGGGGCAATGGGACCTACGTGTAAAGAGGGTGTGGGTGCAGCGGGTCCATGGGCTGCAGAGGGGCAGGATGTGGGTCAATGGGACCTATGAGTGCAGTGGGGCCAGAGGGGCAGGCCATGGGGCAACGGGGACCGGGATTGCAGAGGGGCAGCGCATGGATCCCCAGGGACAAGGAGAGCAGTGGGGTGGGGTGTGAGGCAATGGGTCCTAAGGGTGCAGAGGGGCAGGGAGTGGGGCACTGGAGCCCATGGGGTGCAGAGGGGCAGGGAGTGGGGCAATGGGTCCTAAGGGTGCAGAGGGGCAGGGAGTGGGGCAATGGGTCCTATGGGTGCAGAGGGGCAGGGAGTGGGGCAATGGGTCCTAAGGGTGCAGAGGGCAGGGTGTGGGGCACTGGAGCCCATGGGGTGCAGAGGAGCAGGGTGTGGGGCACTGGAGCCCATGGGGTGCAGAGGAGCAGGGTGTGGGCAATGGGTCCTACGGGTGCAGAGGGGCAGGGTGTGGGGCACTGGAGCCCATGGGGTGCAGAGGGGCAGGGTGTGGGGCAATGGGTCCTATGGGTGCAGAGGGGCAGGGAGTGGGGCAATGGGTCCTATGGGTGCAGAGGGGCAGGGAGTGGGGCAATGGGTCCTAAGGGTGCAGAGGGCAGGGTGTGGGGCACTGGAGCCCATGGGGTGCAGAGGGGCAGGGAGTGGGGCAATGGGTCCTATGGGTGCAGAGGGGCAGGGGGTGGGGCAATGGGTCCTAAGGCAATGGGTCCTAGGGCTGCAGAGGGGCAGGGTGTGGGGCACTGGAGCCCATGGGGTGCAGAGGGGCTGGGTGTGGGGCAATGGGTCCTATGGGCTGCAGAGGGGCAGGGAGTGGGGCAATGGGTCCTATGGGTGCAGAGGGGCAGGGAGTGGGGCAATGGGTCCTAAGGGTGCAGAGGGCAGGGTGTGGGGCACTGGAGCCCATGGGGTGCAGAGGAGCAGGGTGTGGGGCACTGGAGCCCATGGGGTGCAGAGGAGCAGGGTGTGGGCAATGGGTCCTATGGGTGCAGTGGGGCAGGGTGTGGGGCACTGGAGCCCATGGGGTGCAGAGGGGCAGGGTGTGGGCAATGGGTCCTATGGGTGCAGTGGGGCAGGGTGTGGGGCACTGGAGCCCATGGGGTGCAGAGGGGCAGGGGG